TGTCTTTTGTAAAGAGTGAAGAGGTGGGTTGAAGAGTGGTGGAAGGAATTGTAGGGTGGTGAACTGAAAAGGTGGTTTTGGGAGAAAGAGTGAGTCAGTGACGCCGTGTTAGCAAAACTACTGAAAATTACATATGGCATCTCAGGAATATACTGCCATGGTCCAGCTGCCTGCAGAAAGGACATGTAGCTGTCTGCAAGCAGGGGATTTGGTGTACAACATCCAGGTCTGTCCACAAATATTATTACTTCAAAAGATTTAATTTTCCAGGGGGAACTGAGAGTCTTCGGGACCTTATTTGCAGTGAGTCCCAAATGAGAGAGGTGGTGGAATTACAGGGAGAGAAGTAACTGAAAAATGCAGTTTTGTTTTTCAGGCTGGCAGCCTCGATGGTTTCTTCTCTGTGGTGGCATCCTGTCCTATTATGACTCTCAGGAAGATGCCTGGAAGGGTTGTAAGGGAAGCATCCAAATGGCCGTGTGTGAAATTCAAGGTAACTAAGATACAGTAACACGCAGCTGCACGAAGTTTGTCTAATAATGTTGCATTCAAGATGAAATTTCAGCTCACAAGAGCTATTTGGTGGCTTGATTTCTTTGGCATGTATTTGTAATAACTCAGTAACTTGATCTATATGCCAGTTTTTATTCTATAATATTTTGAAAATGGTAAGAGAGCTGCAAGCCTCTAATATAATGGGTATTCTACATGCAGGTGGGTCACTGTTTTTCATGAGCCGTGGTGGAACATCACACAGCTGCAAGTGACTCTTGATAAGCACAAGGCTGAAGCTAGAAATATGAATATGAACTTCAGTGCTAGGTCTGCTCACTCATATGGGATTATTTGCCGCATCTTTGAGGTTCAGTTATGGACTAAAACCTGAAAGAGTGGCTTGCCATAAGAGGATGTCCTTTCCATGAAGACTCCCACATGATATTGTATTGATCAGAAAACTGCCTTTCATAGCTTTTTGTCCCACAGCTGTACATATGTGTGTCCTGTCTATTCCCTAACTCAGAAGTAATGAAATGGCAACCGGGGAAGTTTGAGGCTGTAGATTCCTCCTCTTTTGTTACTGTTTGACCTGCCACCTAACATATCTGTTGGGATATTCAGTTGGGCTGGGAGGAGCTGAGGAGTGATCTGAAATCTATGTTGCTTCCAGTTCATCCTGCAGATAACACACGAATGGACCTGATCATCCCAGGGGAGCAATACTTCTATCTGAAGGCAAGAAACGCAGTTGAAAGGCAAAAGTGGCTGGTTGCGCTAGGAACTGCCAAAGCCTGTCTAACTGACAGCAGGACACAGAAGGAAAAAGGCAAGAACACCCTTTTGCTGGCACATAATATTTGCTTTTTATTTCCTTATCCTTGCCCTGGTAGATGTACACACAAAGATGACAAAATCCATTCCTGAACTCTGTGTGCAACCTGTACTTCAGGTCTCTGGTGGTGCTAAAAGCCAAGCCATGTGGGAACTCTAGCTAGAAATCTCAGATGTTAACTCTCAGTGCAGGGATTTGAAAACTTTGGCTTTTCCTTAAAATATAAGGAAATGTATAAAACATTTGAAGACCATGTGCTGATGGGTTCTGTAAGTACAAGGAGTGAGTAGCTCCTGGGTGTGGGTCACTGCGGTACAGACTGTGCATGAAGGTAAGACCCCCACCTTGTGCAACTGTCTTGCTATGATGACCCAGCCTCTCATACAAGTGTCTCCTGAGCTTTGGAGTTCCTCAGACCCTTTCCTTCCATGTTCTAACTAGGTTGTCTTGTGCACTTCAAGAATCCCTTGGCAATTAAAATAAAGGTTTGCAATTGATTTTAAATGTGCATACTGATATTTGGAAACTGAAATATGATCACGGTCAGGCTATGAAAATTAATTCATTTACCTCTTTGCTTTCACCAACAATCTCACTCAAACCCCTCTTGCTTACAAGTGTGGTGTTAGTCATGAGTCAGTGTGAGACCTCATGCTTTAACCTTGTGTAACATCAGCACAATTACTATGCAGAAGACAGGAAAAAAGCAAATTATTGTTAATATATTAGTGATCCTGAGCAAATGCAGGGGGTGTGGGTACTTTTTTTCCCTGAGGTGAGGAATTGCTTCTCCTCTTAGCCTTATGTGCATCTTCACCAGGCTTTGCATCTACCAGTTCAAATGGAGTCAGAACTGAGCAGAAGCAGCTATTGTAGCGTCCTACACAAAGTGGGGATCTGATGTGCAGTGCCTAGAATCAGAACGAAGTTATATCTATAAACTAACATACAGTAGCACAGGGTGAAAAACTACTGATGTATTTGCAGGATTAAACCATATTAGTCTTATAAACAGACAAATTAATTTATGTTGTTATTCTGGGACTCTAATGTCAAAAAATTACATCTGAAAAATCTCAGATTGACTGTTAGTCATATCTGGATTAGTCTGCTCAGTTCCGTACTCTCCAGTACAAGAAACATATGGACATACTGGAGTGAGTCCAGCAAAGGGCCAGTGAAATGAAAGGGAATATCTGATGGCAGAGCATAAAAGAGATGGAGCCAGACTCTTCTCAGTGAACGGACAAGAGGAAATGGGCATCAATTTAAATACAAGCAAATCCATTGAGACAGAAGCAAAAATGTTTATATTGTGAGGATGAGGGAGCATTCAAAAAGGTTGCACAGAGAGGCTGCAGAGTCTCCATCCTTGGCCATGTTCAAAACCTGACTAGACATGGCCCTGAGCACTGAGCTCTGGATGACCCTGCTTTGAACAAGGGAGTAGGCCTAGCTGGTCTCCAGAGGTCCCTTCCAACCTCAACCATTCTGTGATTCAAGGTTATATATTAAATTAATCCCTTCGTGTTGGACAGGATCTGTCTTTTCTCTCCAGTGTTTTGCATCCAGAACCCTGATCTTTTAATTCAGAGTGTAGTTGGTTGTACCTTAAACTACTTAGTGAAAACAAAAAATATGGTATGTAGGGGTTTCATGCTATTTAAAAGGCCCATTAAGGTCAGATGTTGTGTGCTTGCTTTTTCTCTGTGTCATAAGTCTAGGAACATACTGTTCCTGTCTATGATGGCAAATAATGAAACGGTAGTTTACCTGTCAGGAGCATAATTTATGGCCAGTCCAGCTCATCTTTTTGAGCTGATGGAAAATGTTTTGAAATAAGGAAGTATTGATTGAATTAGATTGTGTAATACTATTTCAGCAACTTTCCAAAATCATATACTGCAAGATGGGTACAATAAATTTAACTCTTCTTTTGCTTCGCTTTTAGAGTTCACTGAAAACACAGAAGCCTTGAAGACTAAAATGTCTGAACTTAGACTGTACTGTAACCTCCTTGTTCAGCAAGTGCATAAGACGAAGGAAGCCAGCATTTCTGGTGTATCAGAACCAGAGGTACGGCTCTATTTTTCATGTAGACTACATCTGTAAAGTCTTGAGCATTGTGAACTGTTCTGGTTAGCCAATGTGGTATTGACTCACAGTTACTTAATATTGCACCCTCTTTCTGCAGAGAACCTGTGGGAAATAATGTACCCACACAACAGTTCTTGTTCAAAAGGAGTAATACAGTATTGTTGCAAATAACTTTCCCTATGTTGGGGTAGAAAGCAGTGAGATGAGATGATATCTACGATCTAGATAATAACATCTCTGTAGATGATCTTGTGTGTATAATGGATCAAAAAGGTAAAATTTTTTTAATAAAAAGATAACTTGCAAGAAGCACGTATTTGTCTGTCCCCGAGTCATTAATATCCTGCTCAGCAAAACACTTCTGTTCTCAACCAAAACCCTTAAAAGGTCAAGAGACAATGCAGACCACAAAAAAAGCAAAATTGCTAGAAAGAACTACCTGATTAGCCTCACTTCAGTTTAAGTTTCAAACTTTGCAAATCTTCCTGACCAAAGAAGCCTCATTAAAGAGGGGTCTCCTAATGACAGTGATCTGCCTCTTGCTTTGAGAGAAAAACATGT